TCCATCTCTCGTTGAGTTGAGTTGGTTGTGGCCGCTTGCAAGACCCATGCCGTACAACTCTCGAATCTCCTCGCTTCAGCCCGGCATCTCCGAAATATCGCCTCGCTTCAGCCCGGTAGCTCCGAAATAGCCTTGGTTCAGCCTGAAAGCAACCGAACAGCCCCGAAAGCTCTCGAATAGCGGCAAAAGAGCTTCATTTGACCCCGGACAGCTCCCGAAAAGCCACGCTTCGCCCCAAACAGCAACCGAGCAATAGTCGAGCAGCCCTGAGCAGCTTACCTTTGCCCGAACGTGCATGTTGCAATGCAGACGTAATAATAATAAAAAAAAAGGAAAAGATATCAGAAAAGGAGTATGGTGTTACCTTTGGAGCCATTGATCGAACACCTTGCTGCCGAAAATTTGAGAGTTGGATGTTTGTGTTGTCTTTTAACGTAGCCCACAAGTTTTTCTTTGACAGCAGCAACTTGCAGTCCCGAGGTTCAACCGATCAGCCCCGGGAAGTAGCCGAGCCACGTGAGCAGCAGCTTGCTGTCCCGAGGATCAACCGAGCAGTCCCGGGAAGTAGCCGAGCCGCCCGAGCAGCAGCTTGCAGTCCCGAACAGCTCCCAAACTAATTAGCTTCAGCCCGAACAACCTCGTAAAAGACCGGACAACTTCCGAAGTGATTCGTTTCAGCCCGAACGGTCCCGTTGGAGGCCAAACATCGCTTAGATAGCCTCGTTTCAGCACGAAGATGACCAAACTAATTCGTTTCCGCCCGAACGGTATGCTGCGGCATAAACGCAACAGAAAAAGGAAGAAACAAAGGAAAAGTAGGGGAAGAAGGGCATGATGATACCTTTCGGGCAAATGATCGAACACCTTCAGGGTTGGAATCAAAAGGATGGATGCGTATGTACTCTTTTATATAGACCACCAAAAAATTATGCACACAGCAACTGCAGCTGGCAACAAGACATACAAATCTCAAACATCAACATTAAGAGATAAGAAAATAGTTGTGGATGGGAATAGTAAAAAAGAGAGGTGCATGCATCTGACCCTCGGAAGTGCATGAAAACGTAAGAGTTTGTGTCCTATTTATAGATCCTCATGAACATCCCAATAGCCGGATGAATAGGAAAAGGCAGAGTTTTAGTTTTAGTTGATAAAGGCAATTTTTTTTTATCAATAATGTTGATGCATCTTAGTGGATTGAGAAGTGGACGGCTTACTAAATTCTAAGTGCTTAGCCCAATTGAGGTTGGCTTTTTTATTTTATAAAGTGAAACTTGAAATTGCCCAAGTTACTCAATTTCAAGCAATAAGAAGTAAATTAATTGGATTCAAGTGAAACCCAATACTAATCAAAGAAATTCCAAAAGGCCCCAAAAGGCAATGAGTCTATCTTCGCTCCTCCAAACCCAAATCGAATAATGTCGTGAATTATTCACTCCAAGACGTCTCGTCCGTGAACAAGTTTCGAGAGGGCATGTATGCAGTTAAATTTTGAGCTAATAAAATGACGACAAGTGTCAAATTCCATGTCATAGTCAATTTAATAATTTTCTATTTTATTTGAGAAATTAATCAAATTTTAATCCCTAAGTTAAATAGTTAATTAATTAATTATTTAATATGCATTGTTGGTCAATTAAAGAATGTCACGTGTATATTTTGAAAGTCAATTAAAAAATGTCACATGTCATTTTCTTGGAGAATAAAATAAATAATTATTTATTTTAATAATTATTAAAGAGATAAATATGTGAAAATTTATGGACCAATCAAATTGAAGTCTTCTTTTCCAAGACTCTCTCTCCTAATTATCTCTTTAAATAATTATTAAGAGATAAATACTAGAAATTGTGGACCAATGAAATTGAAGTCTTCTTTTCCAAGACTGTCTCTCCCAACATCTATAAATAGGCTCTCCCTAAGGTGAAAAATCACAATTCATATTCACAATTCAAGTTCCAAGTTCAAGAGCTCTAGAGAATTCTCTACACGAAATTCAAGTGTTCTTGAAGATCTAAAGGTGTTCTTGAAAATCCGAAGGAAGATTCAATCGCGTTCAAGCCCAAAACCGACGTTCAATCCGGAATCAAGCTGTCAAGCCTCCGAATTACGTTATTAAAGTCAAAACCGACGTAGAGAAGATCAAAATCAACTTTGCGGCGAAGCCAAGGACTCGTGTTCTTCACGTTCTTGGGAAATCACGACGTTCGAATCGAGATCAAGCTGTCAAGCCCTCGAAAAAACGTTATTTAAACAAAATTCAAGACCAACGGAGATCAAACTGAAGACTCATCTTCAAAAGTCTCAAATCCATTTGAAGACATTCTTGAAGAAATTAATCAGAGGAATAATAGAGATTTGTAATCCACTGTCTTGCATTTGATCCGTTGAAAATTCATTTGTACGAAGTTCTCGTGTTTATTAATTCAATAATACGAAATTTTGCATTACAACATCATTTATTTACATTGTAATATTGATAAAATTAAAAATTGATAATTATTATTTCGATCAGTGATTGAAATAATTTTCATACAAAAAAATCTATAAATATGTTAATATTGCGACAAAATAAGTGCTGATTAACTATATATTTGTAAATAAAAAATTGAAAATTAAATAACTTATTATACACAAGTATCATAATTTTGAAAATTTTAACATCTGCGATAAATAATATTATATATCCAAAAATTAAAACTATATTAACCAAACATAAAAACGGTTTAATATACCAAACAAAAGCATAACACGGAATACAAAATCAACAGAAAAGGCCGTTTTCAAAACAAGAGACCTAATCTTATTTGGTAGACCTTAAAATAAGGAGTTAAAATAGAGGTCACGTGATATTTTGACATATTCGGTCAAAACAAGATAAAATTGATAAAAAAAAAAAAAAAAAAGAAGTGGTCGAGCTCGAGTTTGACCAAACTTGAGCCGAGTACGAGTTGCTCGAGCGACCAGTCGAGTCGATCTCGATCCCATGTTTTACAAGGTCGAGCAGTTCGTCGAGCTATGAAATTGTGGTGGCTATTTTTTCAGAAATATACTATATGGAAACACACAATGTACTTTTTCAATAAATAGTTCACATTGGATATGAACAAAGCTATGAAATTCGGCACATACCTTTGAAGCTCGTCCAGTCGAAACCACTTCAAAGCATCAGAACAAAAACGAGACACCTCCAGTAATGAATTCCCGAACCGTACAAATGAAATCATCAAATTATTTAAGGACAAAAAAAAAAATCATGATTTGAGATTCCTCTTTACAAATCTCCATTGCAGCAAAGCAGAGAAATTTACAAGAAAGCTGCTAGAACAAACAGCACATTGAAACTACCGCCAGTTTTTTACTAGGAAGGAAAAATACTCGGACAAAGAGTGCGCTAAAACAAGATGAAGATAGAAATATAAGAAGAGATTAAAGGCTGCCTGATCAATACACAAATTTCTAAATATAGCAGGTCATACAGTAGATTACTAAAAAGAGAGTGGGCATAGAGAAAGAACAAACACCAAATTTAATACTTGACTTCTTTGGAACAATACCAGAACAAAATACGTTTAAACCACGAATATAGAGAAAGGCGGGCGAAAATGTGCTTACATATAACGAATGGCCTGCATTTGACAAGCAATACCTATTGGAAAATCCAAAGTCTTGTGGCCCTAATAGGAACACGATGAGTGAAAGCTCGTAAAGTTTCTTTGAATTCAGTTGTGAAACCTATCCCCAAGAGTTTTTGTTTTGATCATTATAAATGGACCAACTTTATTTCGAATTTTTACACTTGGGTTTTTTCATTTAACATACAGCAACCCCAGCATGGGATCTTTGTGGGTAAATACATCTCCCAAGAGCTGTCTGCAAGACTTCGACCCTGAAATGGTACTTATTAATTCTTTTAAGAACATAAAATTTTTGACAATTTGTATGGGTAAACCGCTCTTGATCGTGCATTTCAGGAGTAAAAAAAAAAAAGAAAAGGCAAAGTTTGAAACTTTTTAAGATAACAGCATGTACTCCTAAGTATTCTGAATCTACGAGACCATCGTTCATAATGACTCCAAAATATAACATTTCAAGGATCAGAAATCAGGCAACACACCATCACTACCTGAAAGAACACTAAGTATATCAGCAGCAGCCATCAAACACAAAAAAGGCAGACCAAATGTTCAAGCAAACTTGAATCCCGAGCTAGATGAACGTTCTGATTAAATCCTCGATTTAGAACCTTTTCCTTTAGGTCTCTTATCCCGAAAACTTTGAAAATACGTGACAAAAGGTCTCATTAATGGCGTTATCAACACAAGCAACGTCTAGTGTTAAAAAATTCTCACCATCAAATGATCCCACATTTTGTTACAATCCCATGACCAAAGTCACTATAACAAATTCAAGCCTTCAAAATTGATAACTAAAAAGCCATCACCAACATGTATACAAGAAACACAGTTTACCAAAGCATATGAAAACGATAAGTACACAAGAGCAGAAGAATCAGCATTGCTGTTTGTAGGAAATGGTAAATATTTGCTAGAATATCATAAAAGTGAACGTTTACAAATTGCAAAAGAACTAAGAAGAAACCTCCGAACTTCCTCATCACTGTTTCCTCTGTTAAATTTATTCCCATTAACCAAAAAACATGTGTATTAACAGTTATAATCTAAGGGAAAAGAAAAAAAAAAAACGAAGCAAAAATTAGAGTTTCCGGAGCAACTAAGAGCCTTTCTTCTTTCCTTGTACACCACATTTTTACCAGAGAAATTTCAACACTCAACTCAAAATTCAATTTTCCAATGCTGGTGTAGCTTGCCCCTGTATTAGTCCATCCTTCACATTTAACCTGTTCCCGATTAAAACCCGAAAACTTAAGCCACCCACTACTGAACATTCAGCATACAAAATGAAAAATGGAAACAAGATGAATGTTAAAAAATTGATGATTTTTACCTCTTTATTTCATTTTTTTTCCCCTATTTTTGTTATGGAGCAGCTTCAGGGACTTTATACATGTCTGCTGTAACCTCTGTCAGCCACAATCCTGGGAATAAGGTCTGCAAAATTCCAAATTTTGAAAATAAATAAACAAATGAAACATAAGAAGATGAAGGAAGATGAAGAACAGGACGAGCATCAATGGAACAGTGGATTAAACGAATCAAATGACCTAAAAATACAAAAATTGGATCCAATTGGGATTTGAATTTCATTATCGACTTACATCCAACTGCTTCTGAACGGTCCTCGGTCTCTTCTTAGGCCTGCGCGGC